ATGTATCTATTTTAACTTAGTGTTTTCATTTCCTCTGAATATATTCTCTGAAAGAGCATTGTTAGATAACATGGTAATTTGTTTCAATTTTAGAGGATCCACCATACTGTTTTCCATAGCAGCTATACAAGTTTACAATTTAGCTATTATTAGGACTCATTCTCTCAACATCACCACCAATGTGTGTTCTTTCTTGTATTTTGATGAAGGACATTCTGACAAGCTTGAGGTACTATTTCAGAGTGGTTCTGATTTGTCTTTTCCTAATGACTTGTTACATTCAACATATTTTCTGGTACCTACTAGCCACTTATAGATCTTCTTAGAAAAAATACTATTCCAGTATTTTGCTGATATTTGGACTACACCTCTACTACTGAGTCATATTAGTTCCTTACAGACGTTGTATACCGAGTCAGATAGAATGTTGCAAATATTTTCCCATTCTGTAGGTAATCTTTTCACAGTATTGACTATATTATATTCTGTATAGAATCTTTTTTAGCTTGATGCAGTCCATTTTTTTTATTTTGTGGTTTGTGGATTTAGTGCCCAAATACCCAAAATTGTAGAAATGCAAGCCCAGAAGTTTTTCTCCTTTGTTCTCCTAGAAGTTTCGTGGTTTGAGGTCTTATAATGAAGTACTTCATTCCAACTTATCTTTTCTGAATAACATGAAAAAGTATAGTTTCATTCTTTTATGTGTGATATTCAATTTGCATAGCACAAATTATCAAAGACACTGACTTTTTCCAAGTAAGCATTCTTGTGTCGTATTATTATTCCTGCCATTTATTAGTTGGCTGTATATGCTTAAATGTCTTTCTTGCTCTTCACTTCTATATCACCTATTTGTCTGTTTTTATGTTAGCACCATACTGTTTTAACGACTATAACTTTTTAATATAGCTTAAAATTAGGAAGTATCCTGTATTCCATTTTATTCTTCTGAAAACCCTTCTCTAGCCCATAAAGTTTAGTATACCATAGTTCCATTTTTTGTTCAAATCAAGATACTACATTCTCCTGAATTTTCTTCTCTTATCTACTGGTTATTTGTGAAACTGTTTCACTTACATCTACTCATTAATTTTCCATTTTCAAAGTTTACTGATGTTAAGTTTCATATAATGATATTAAAGAAGAAATCTCGAAGAATCTCTGTCCCCTTGAGATTAGCATGCCTTGTTTTTGTCTATAAAATATAGACTATCCTGTAAAATGTTCCATATGCACTTGAGAAGTTTGTGTATTGCTGTCAGTTAGCTGAAAGGCCTGCACATGTCTATAATACTTGGTTTATAGTGTTATTTCAAGCCCCTATTTTCTTATCATTCTCGCTTGATCATCTATTTGTTGCTGAAATTGGGGTATTATTTTGCTGTCCTGCTATTTATTTCATCTTTTAGCTCTGTTAGCTAAATTTATTTAATCACATATTCTAACGCCATAACATTATATGACAACTTTCTTTGCTTCTCTTTGTCATTTCTTAGTTTAAGTTTTGTTTTATCTGAGATAGCTACCTCTACCTTTTAAAATTTGCGGGGGAAGTGGAGAATTACCATTTTATGAAATGTCTTTTCCCATTCATTTATTCACTGTCCATATATGTATTTAAAATTAAATCTCTCGTAAAAAATATATCAAAAGGATCTTTAATTGTTTCATTTTTGTTAGTGTTTCTGGTCAGATTATTTAATCCCTCTATACTGATAGTTGAGTCAAAGTTACTATTGCCACTTTTGTTGATTTTGGTGGGGTCTTTTTGCTATTTATTTAAATTTAGGTCCAATGCTCCTTTGTTCTTACTGGGCTGCTTTTTGTGTGACTTCTGATTTCTCTGACTTAGCGTGTTCTTCTGTGTAATTACTACCATTATTTCCTTTGTGGTTATTATGAACTTACACGAAATTTCTTAAAATTATAACAGATGCTTGCCTTGCATCCTACCCATTCCAGGTATGAGCCCCGAGCTCTGCAAACAGGCCCCTGAGCACTGCCAGTGTTCACTCCTGAGCACAGATCCAGGAATAACCCCTGAGCACTTCCACGGAATCTGCGGATTTTTTTTTTAAATAAGGGCCACCCCAGTAGAACTTAAAGAGCCTGGGAACTAATTGTGGTAATGCCCAGCCCAGCATGTGGGCATGATGCTTCAGTGCGTAAGCCAAACAGTTACTCAGAGGTGGCAGAGACCTTGCCCAGAGGGAATGCGAGAGCTCCTAGGGCAATCCGCAGCAGACACAAGAATCATGCAGGGGCAGAGCCTGAATTCAGAATCTCGCACATGCTATGCATATGTTCTACCACTTGAATTTTCTCCTTCGACTGTAACATCGCATTTAAAACTAATAGCAACCTAATGTCAATAGAATTCTGAAACTTTACACTTTAATTTTCCCTCCATTCACGTTTTATGCACCATAAACTTAGTGCGTAAACTTCTGGTGCAGAATCTAAGCTTAACTACACATTTACGATTACCAGTGAGTTTTATGTCACCTTCTTAGGGTTTTATATTTTTGATGATATAACATTATGTTACATGACTGTAGAACATAAGAGGTAATGAGATATTTAAATTATTGAGACAAAAAGCAACTTTAAAAAAAACCGCCTGTGTTTATTATCATCAGGATGAAATTGCAGAACAAAAATAAAATATCGGATCTACTACATAAATTGTGGAGTGTTGGAGGAGGGCAGGTAAAATTAGAGCCAGAATCTGCAGTACAGACAAAAATAGAGAACTCTTCTTTTTGTAACTTTCTGCATTATTTCACCTCCGGCACCTTTTTAAAAAATGTTTTTTATTTAGGTATCATAGTTACGATAGTACTGAAGTCATTGTTTCATAGTTGCATACACCAATTCCCTCCATCAGTTTCAAGATTCCTCCCCTATTATGTCACACTCCTTTCCCCAACACCCCAAACAGCTCATCTCAGTTCCATTGATCGTTTCTCAGAGTTTGTTGGCATGAGGGCCTACAGTTAAATACACCATACTGAATGGGAGAAAATGTCTGTACAGATACATCAAAAGGTAATTAATACCCAAGATACATATACACAAAACAACTCCATCAAAAACTGAAGAGAGGAAAATAGACACTTCCTCAAAGAAGACATAAAGATGCACATGAAAAAAATATTCATCATCACTTATTATCAGCGATGCATGCATACCAAAACAACATGGAAGTGTCACCGCACACCAGCTAGAACAGCCTATACAAAAGAGAGAAGGAGGGAGGGAGGGAGAGAGGAAAAGAGAGAGAGAGAGAAAAAGAGAGAAAGAGAGAGAGAGCACTGATTAGGGTTGGTAGGAATGTGATGAGAAAGGAACTCCCATTCACGGTGAGACTGGTGCCTCCTTGGACAATGATTTAGAAACTCCTCAAAATATCACCCCCCAAAACTTCCCATATGATCCAGCAATTCTGCTCCTGGATATATGCCCTAAGAATACAAAAAAATTAGTCCAAAAAGACATACATATGCCAGTGTTCACTATAGGAATCATAAAAATTTATTAAGAATTGCAAGAGCAGAGTATGAAACTAATACTGTCCTTGTAAGCCTGAGACCCTCAGTTAATGAAAACCAGTAATGTTACAAATTATTGGAGGCAATTTCCTGCCTTTAAGCAGAGGACTCATTTACTACCATTGTTTTAAGGTCAAATTTTATCTTCCTTCCTTAAGAGGAATATCCCCAAGTTTTACAGTTTGACTTCATTTTTAAGTTTAGAGTCTGAGAAAAAAAGGAAAGAACTGGGACTGCTCACATTTCCGAAACCTGAAACCCTCAACAGCTAGTCAAAGAAACAACTTGAAATATTTAAGATAATTCTGCAGGAAATAATATTTGTTTTACATAAAAACAAAAATATGTTTTATGCTATTAACAGACTTCTTTGATCATATATTTATACAGTATATATTTATAGTTTTGGAGAATCCTGAATATATTCTTATCATGACATAATTATTGTTGAAATGTACTGTTTGTCTCAGAGAGTAGAATACAGTAAGTTTATATATAATATAAAGGCACAAGCATATATGAAAACAAAAATGAAAAATTATTTTAACAACATTTGTATGAATGAGAATATGAAAAACACTTCTAAATATAATTAACAAATACTTTTAAAATTATGTTTTTGCGGGGGAGAATTGACAGTATCAACAAAATTCTAAAAAGACAAAACCATTGATAAAAATTGATAGGCTACAGAACTACAAATTCAGTCAGTCACGGTCACGGTCCTCTCATTGTTCATCGATTTGCTCGAGTGGGCCCAGTAACATCTCCATCATGAGACTTGTTGTTACTGTGTTTGGCATATTGAATACGGGTAGCTTGCCAGGCTTTGCCATGCGGGTAAGATACTCTCAGTAGCTTTCCAGGCTCTCCGAGAGGGGCGGACGAATCAAACCCGGATCTGCCAGGCTGGCTGTGCGCAAGGCAAATGCCTTACTGCTGTGCTATCACTCCAGCCCGCAAATTCAGTAATAATAAAGAATTCAAAAAGACACTACGTATGGGTTACATAATAGATACAGAGGAAAATTATAAAGATGAAAATGCAGATTTGGCATACAAAGGGTACTTTCCCGAAAAACAAAGAACATTTTTTTCAGAGAGATACAACAGACAAACATATTCTATAAAAGTTATTTTTTAAAGCTTCCACCAAGGTATTATTTTAAAAAGTTTAATCCTTTCTGAGAATTAGTAAATGCAAGTGAATATAACTTATAATAGAGATTTCTTAGTGAAGGTACTAAACTAAAGGGGGAAAAAATAGCACAAATTCAGTTCACACAGGTGTGAAAGAGAGGGGCTAGGAAAACCTGAGGGATGCTGTTGGATTTGTGTCCATGAAAACCATCATCAGCAATTCTGTCAATTGCACAATCTCAATCAATTAAAAATCAAAAGCTCAAAACAAATTCAAATTAAACAAAGTGCTGAAGCTCTTCTACTTACAATTGGCATTGGTCACCTTTTATTCCTTTGGTTGTGCAGAAACATTTTCCTGTGTGCATATGACAAATATTTGCATGGCCACTGCATGTACAAGCTGCAAGTCAAAACCAAAGTTACATTTAATATTCTGCATCACAGACAAGTGCATCACATTTCTGGGAAGGCCGTATTTTTATTTTACACCATACATTTTTCTCTTGTCATTCAAATACGAGGGTGATCTCATAGAGTATTCTTAAATAAAGTGTAGTGAATTAAGTCATTTAAATAATTTTGTGAGACTTTATTTTTAAAGTGGAGGTGGGCTTGGGAGCTAACCCCAGCTGTACTCAGGGCTTATTCCTGGCGCTGAGCTCGGGGAAATCACTCCTTGTATTGCCTGGGAATGATTTGCAGTAACTAAATCCAGGTCAGGCTTGGGCAAGGCAAGTGCCTTACAACCTGTATTAAAGCATCTCTCCAGCCCAAAACCCTTTCAAGTCTTGAGGGTATCCTGAATGAGGTATAGGGTGGAGTCAAATATTTACATCATTATTCTTAGGGCTATTTTCATTTCTAAACTGGCACATCTGCTTAATGAAATGAGTCAGAGAGAGAGAGAGAGAGAGAGAGAGAGAGAGAAACACAGGAACTTGGAATCAAATAAGTTTGCTTGAAAGGTACATTTAGGCAATTTATTCAGCATCTCTAGGTTTAGTTACTGTATTGTACCTTATGCTATTTTCTCTTATCCTATTGTTGCAAAAGCAACAACAGGACAGCTCTGCCAACCAGCATGAATGCCACTCACATCATACATGTCTGTACTTCTAGGCTACAACTCAGGGACCAACACTGAGAGACAGTTTAAGGAGATGAGACTAATCCTGTCATCAGCACTCTCAAAAGTCATTCGTGAAAACCACTGTGTTCCTATACATTCCTATACCAGCTGGCTAAACAATCCCACTGATAAAAATTAATTTGCCTTTTCATCATTCACATATTTACACTGCCACTGTCACTGTCCTCCTGTTGTTCATCGATTTGCTCAAGCGGGCCCAGTAACATTGTGAGACTTGTAGTCACTGTGTTTGGCATATCGAATACATCTTGGGTAGCTTGACATATTTACACACACAAAATAAATCAAATGGATGATCAATTTTGTAAAAATACAAAATGTTCTACAACACTATATTTGTAGTTTATTATGACTATTTGCTTTGAAAAAATATATAATCATACTCCTAAACCTATTTTTAAAAAGGCTTTAATACTCAGTAGATTTCTAAGAATTAGATGTTTCATTGGAAGAGATTCCAAAATAAAACCGTGAGTTTTTCGAATAAGAAATACTTACATAGATCAACATTCCTTTAACTTAATAAATTAACTATGGAAACAATAAAATTCTTAACCATAAAAATTATCATTGCATACTAGCTTAAATAATTTCTGAGACCAAAAGTGTATGCTTGAAGTACCCCTTAATGTCAGGGGAGTCTCCTTGGTGGTGTCACACTTCAAGCTAAATAGCACAAATATATTTTAAATTCACTTATTTACAACTTGTACTTCCTGACAGAGTTGAAACAATTAAAGAGATCAACATTCCTTTAACTTAATAAATTAACTACGAAAACAATTGCAGAACTTAATACCACGGCAGAACTGCAAAAAATAAAACTAGGAGCCAGAGAGATGGCTCAGTGGTCTGAGAGAATGAAAATGAGGCCTGAGACCAATCCCCAGTACTGCACAGTCTCTTAGTACTGCTGGGAGCATTCTCCAAACAGAGCAATGAGTAGTACCCAAGCATCACCAGATGTGCCCCAACCCCAAGATCCCAAAAAAAAAGATCAAGAAAACTGTTATTAACAAATTGGAGCACTAAGTTATCTGGCTCCAAATTTGGCTCTTATCTCTTTTGCAGTGTCAGGGGTTGAACCCAAGTCTTCAACTCATGCAAGGCAAATGCTCCATCTCTTAAGTTCATCCCTAACTCCAATATGAAAACTGATAAATATTAAGTGAGCAATAGCACAGCGGGTAGGACGTTTGCCTTGCATGCAGCCAACATGGCCATCCCGAGTTCGATTCCTCCACCCCTCTCGGAGAGCCCAGCAAGCTACCGAGAGTATCTCACCCGCACGGCAGAGCCTGGCAAGCTACCTGTGATGTATTCGATATGCCAAACACAGTAACAATTGTCACAATGGAAACGTTACTGGGCCTGCTCGAGCAAATCAATGAACAACGTGAGGACAGTGACAGTGATTAAGTGAGCATATAATTGTCTCTCTATTCATTTACAGAGCTTCATATTAATATTTGCTGCTGGATAATCAGAAATTCACCAAAAACAAATGATGCACATTAATATTTAAAATGGCTAACCCTTTCATTGGTTATGGCAGAACTAGAAAACAGTTAAGTTTACATAGTTTTTTATTTTGACTTTTTTAAAGAATTATCATTGTATATTAGCTTAAATAATTTCTGAGACCAAAAGTGTACGTTTGAATTACATTAACTCTTAATGTAAGCTCATTCTGGGGAAATCCCTTGGTGGTGCCACACTTCAAGCTAAATAGCATATATGTATATTTTAAAATCACTTGTTTACAACTTGTACTTCCTGACAGAGTTGAAATTATTCATGTTGTTGTCAGTATATGAGATTATCTTTGTAAGCTGCAAAAGCAGCTTGAAAGCATCATACAGGTAAAATATGTTTACCAGGTTTTGTTAAACAAATGGTTTTCTGTTTACCAAATTTTACCTGATGATTATTTTACAGCCTGGACTTATAATGGTGGAGACTGTATGTGCCCATGAATTTCATTCCCCCATGATATAAAATTTCAATTATGAATTTGCAACCCAAACTAACAAACAGAAAACATAACAAGGACATTATCAGGACTAATCAAACAAGTTTTATGTAAAAATATTCTTTAGAAATCCGAAATCCAAAAGTAATCACCAACTGCTTGTTTCAAAGGCAGGATAAGTTCCTTTTGTTGTTACATTGCTATCCGTCACATATTATAAAAGAACTTCTGTAGAGTAATAAATCATGCATTTTAATTTCCACGTATATTTCTAGCATAACTATATCAAATGGTATTTAACAGATATGCTAATTATTAAAGTTGAAATAAAGTAAAAATTCTGATACATATGTTCAAATGTCAATATAACCTCAAATTCTGCTCTTCAATATAACTTCTCATTCTTCAATGTTCTAAGACAAAATTTTTTTTCTTCTTTTAAAGACCTCCAAGCCTACTCGGATTGGAGTCGAGCATCTTCCACCCAGATCCTCCAAATTCCAGTAGGCGAGGGTCACACCCACCACCTGGCCCCCTGGCGCCGTGTAATCCCATCAGCGGCCAAGACTCAGAGACTATAAAATCCAGATCCCTGACATCTTATCAGAACTTTTTTTAATGACATCTTATTGTCTCATTCCTACTTTGGACAAACTTGCAGGCTATCGAATGTAGCCTGCCCACAGGGCAGAGTCTGGCAAACTCCCCGTGGCGTACCAAATATGCCAAATACCAGTAACAATGATGGGTCTCATTCTCCTAAAGAGCCTTGAATATAATCTCAGGGCTAGGATGAAAGAGACGTTACTGGGGCCTGCTCGAGGCAATCGACGAATAACAGGATGATGAAATGAAAAAAATGAAAATGAAAAATTTTTTAACTGAATCACTGTGAGATAGACCCTTACAAACATAAAGCCAAATTTTCATCAACATGTGCCTTATAAAAGGGAAAACATCGCATAGCTCACTCTTTTATATAAACCTGCAATGTTGATATCAATAAATCTTATCAATTTATTCTTCTTCACTAAGTACTCCAGAATAAAAACTGCTACCGTGCATCAACCTGGAGTGTGAATAATTTTTTTTCCTCATAAAAAGATGACAATTCTCATGATTCAGATTTTTCGAAATAATTTGACAAAGATTACTTTGTTTATTAAGAATATTTTGGTCTCTGTGGACTGGCTGCTGCTGTTTCTGCTTCCTCTTTGCCTTCTGCTTTTCACCTCCTACCTCTGCATCATTCTTCCTCCACAATTCTTTAAAATCGCACAAACCATTATCAATTTATGGGCCTACGAAAAAAAAATCCTAGGAAGCAGGCTTGTACTGTTTTCTGGGGTGATTTACAAACCCTAAGAATAATGGTTAGGGACTGTTCTAAATACACGGCTGTTTCATTAATTCCTATGCTGACTGCAGCACTATTTGCAAGAGTCAAAATCTGGAAACAGCCCAACTGTGCAAGAACAGATGACTGGATAAAGAAACTGGAGCGCACATAAACAAAATGTACTGTAGCTGGAATACTACTGCCCGACTTTAAGAAAAGATGAGATCACACAATTTTTTGGTATATGGATGGATCTGGAGAGGGCCATGCTGAGTGAAGTCAGCTGGAAGGCGAAGGACAGTGACAGCATGATTTCTCTCACATGTTGGATACAAAGAAACAGAGGACGGGAGTAACAGATGCCCAAAGGCAACTAAAAGTTGGTCTTCAGTAGGGCTTTTCACAGTGGGGTGGGAGAGAAGGTCACTGGGACTGTGGTGGATGAAAGCAGCAGATATCCTGCTGGAGGGTGTGGTGCCCGGATGTTTTATGCATGAATTCTTACATCAACAATTTTGTGAACCACAGTGACTAATACACAAGTCAAAAAAGAAAAAGGTTCTAACTAAATATTAAACTCTAATCCATAGACACATTTCAGAGTCTTGAGTTAGTGATTCTGAAAACTGCATTCTAAGATGAAGTCAATAAAAATCTATGTAGTGGCTAACAAAGTCAAATTTCCTTTCTTTTAACTATAGAATAGACAGACTTGAACCCCAGAGTACAGGGAGGAGAAGGGCAGAGAATGAAAGAAACCAAGAGGTGAAGGAAGAAGATGATAAGGAGGAGTAATGGGGGAAGGGACCAGGGGATTCAGTTATAACTGTGATGTGGGAGAGTGTATTGCTACATATACAAAGCACAGACTCAACAACACTGAAAACTAAACTACAACCATGAAACTCTGAAATGTGCCTGTGAAGGAAGGCGGCAGAT